CCCCTGGTTCCTGCTCCCGTCCCCCCCACTGAACTGCACCAGGACTGTCTTAGTTTCAGGGCTAGAGTCACCTCCTTGTTCCCCAGCCCTGGGTCCTGGGAGCAGGGCAGGGCCTCCCAGCAGTTTCCTTCCTTACTTTCTTGGGACGGAAATCCAGCTGGTGGGGGGTGCCTGGCTGGAGCCTGAGCAGGGAGGGGGGCTCCCCAAAGTGACTCAGCCCCATGCCCCCACCCATCCCTGGGGAACCTGTGCCACAGTTGGAGGCAGATAAATGGGGTGGCAGCCTGAGCAGGCCAGAGAGCTCAGGCCACTCCAGCTGGACGCTCCCTGCCTGCCACTGCTGTCCCGCCTCCCATGGCCCGCTCTGGGAAGGCTACACCACCCACCCTGGCCTCAGGAGGCCCTCCACGGAGCCCATCCCGGGGGCTTGTGCAGGTCAGGTGGGGTGAGGGTGGGGTGGGACGTAAGGACCCCAGCAGCCAGCTTAGCCTGTGTCCCCCAGGGTTGGGAGAAGGGACTCTAGGGACCCTGGTGACCATGGTATGAGCAGGCTGGACCCTAAGCAACAATGGGGGCCTTTCTCTGCCAGGGCTGGTGAGTCACCATCTGGGGGGGCACAGCCCGGCTTGGGGGTACTCTCATGCTAGCCTCTTTGTCTGATCACAGGCATGGCTGGGAGATTCAGGCTTGTCCAGCTCTGGGACCGCCAGGATGGGAACTGGGGCTTGGGAGCCTGTGGGAGCCTGAGGGCCCAGCTGGGAGGTGGCAGGAAGTGCTCTGAGCTAGGGCAGGAGCCAGGAATGTGAGCAATGCGGGGCCAAGCCTGCGCCCCCTCCTGATCCACTGCTCTCTCCGCCTCCCCACTGGTCCTCCGTGCTGGGTCTCCACGCAGCCAGGCTCCCCCAATTCCCATTGCAGCCCCTCAACCTGAGGGTCTAGGGCCTAGTTTGGCACTCCTTGGACCCTGACCGTAAGAGAGGGATTTAGGCCAGATATTAGGAGAAACCTCTTGGCCATGCTGGATTGAGGCAGGGAGACAGCCACTATGGTCTCAAACCGGATGTGATTTCATTCAGCCTGGCCTCATGGCCCTGGATGCCCCCCCAATCCTGCTTCCCGTTTGGGGGCCTTGAGAGACCCCGCCCTGGAACCATTGTGGAGGGCGTGGGAAGAGGCCACAGGGCCCGCCGCAGAGGGACGTCCTTTCATGCAATAGGTCACTGTGCACGTCTGTTTGCAAGCATATGTTTGGCTGTCTGGTCTCTGCGACCCTGTGATTTGCTTCTGCCACTTGGGCCCATGGCCACATGCGAAGTGTGGTCCTGTAGCACCTCCACGTTCCACGCATGGCCCTAGCCCTGGCTCTGCTCCATCTGGCCCAGCTTGGGACCTGTGCTCTGACAGCCCAAACCTGAGAGGCACCTCCTGGGGAGGTGTGGGCCCGCCACAGAGCTGCACACCTGTACTTCCAGGTGTGTCTGGGGGAGGGGATGAGTCTGTAAATGAGGTCCTGGAGAACTTGGGGGTCTCACAACCCCCAGTTCAGCCCACATTGCCTGGCCACGCCGCTGGGGGCTGGAGGAGCAGCAGCCCAGTCCCCAGAGTTCCTGGGGTTTCAGGGCAGATGGTGGCCTGCAGTGGGGGTCCGAGGGGGCAGGCTTTGAGGGTCGGGGAAGGAGTCCTGGAGAAGGGACACAGGCTAAACCAGAAGGTGTTCCCCATAGGTAGGAAGGCCCAGAGACCAGGGCAAGTTACCACCCTGTGAAGAAAGACATGCTTGGTTCCACAGCCAGGCGGCCTCAGTCGGATTTGGGATTTGGAAGGAGCTCGGAGGCCTGGAAGCTGGCCCTCCCTCAGTACTACCCCCGGCCTGGCCCAGGGTCTGTCTGTCACCACACACAGGGAGGTGGAAGGAAAGGAAGGGGCCCCGGTGAGCACCCCCACCTCGCATAGTCTCACCTACATGCGCACTTGGGCCCCGAGCGTCCAGGAAACCTGAGCTGCTGGCTGCCCGCTCACTCCGGCCACCGCCATGTTGAGTTGAGCACCAGCGGCTGCTGGCCACTCAGCACTGTGGTCACTGCCTCAGGCCCCAGCTGGGTGGGGGTACTGGGGTCTGGCCCCTGCCTGCACGGCTCCCCACACCCCACAGCCAGAGCCCTACTGCAGGATGCCAGAGGTAAGGGAGGCAGGGGCTTGGGGTGTGGATGGGGGCACCCTGGGCCTGCTGGGTGGGCAGAGAAGGTGGGAGGGCAGGCTCCATCCTCGGCCCTCTCACTCTCTCCCTCCCTGGGCTCCAGCTCAGGCATCTCTGGGCCCTGTGGGGGTGAGGGCAGCTCCAGTTTGCTCTGGAATGTGAAAGCAAACACAAAAACAGCTAGCCACACTGCCACCAGTCCTATGGAGACCTTTGGGAGAGAAAACAAAACTGCCAGGTCCAACCCGGCCAGTCCCACGCTGTGAGGGGGGGGGTTGGTGGGGAGCAGGTGGGGCCCAAGGGGACAGCCCTCCTAGAACACTAGCCCATCTCACCTGGTCTCTCCTAGGACCCTGGTCTGTGCTCAGCTCTATCCTTGAGCCCACTGATTCTCCCAGCACCCCCGTAAGGCCCTTGATCCCATTGCTAGTGATTTTGGGGTTTGGAAACTGAGACTTTGTCCAAGATCCTGAAGCTGGATTGGTCACAGGCAGCCTCAAGGGTCCCCTGGGGCATGGGTGTGAAGCAGCAGTGTTGATCTCTGCCATCTGGGATTGCTGAGGGGGTGGGTGAGGGCATGATGCCAAGTGTGGGGTTGGGGCTCCGTCCTGCCACCTTTGTGGCTGTGTTCACACACTGGGCGGGAGGCCTCAGGGGTGGGGTCAGTGCCTCTAAGGGTGGGAGGTCAGGGCTGGAGCCTTACCCGCATTCCCTGTGCCTGCAGGATGTCAATGGGCCCCTGAGGGAGCTGCGCCCGAGACTCTGCCACCTGCGAAAAGGTCCCCAGGGCTACGGGTTTAACTTGCACAGTGACAAGTCCCGGCCTGGACAGTACATCCGCTCTGTGGACCCAGGTTCACCTGCCGCTCACTCTGGCCTCCGTGCCCAGGACCGACTCATCGAGGTACCTGCTGCCGGGACTTGGGGTTCCGGGTACCCCGTGTGTGAGTGTCTGTGTCTGTGTCTGTGTCCTTTCTGTATGTGTCTTCACCCATGCCCTTCCGTGTGTGTGTGTGTGTGTGTGTGTCTGGGCCCTGGGTCCTCACTGGGTGGAGGGGAGATGCCAGGAACCTGAGCTGTCACTCCTCTTGCTGCTGTAGCTGGTGACAGTATTGATGAATATTTGATACCACCCCTGGCTGGGTGGCTTGGGGGGCTGGCTGGGGCCTGCCCTCAGGCAACACTGACCCTATGCTGGTGGCGGCAGGTGAATGGGCAGAATGTGGAGGGGCTGCGCCATGCAGAGGTGGTGGCCATCATCAAGGCACGGGAGGACGAGGCCCGGCTGCTGGTGGTGGACCCCGAATCGGATGAGTACTTCAAGAGGCTGCGGGTCACACCCACCGAGGAACATGTAGAAGGTGGGCTGCTGCCCTGGGGGCCAGGGCTGGGGTACAGCATTGAGGGGCTGGGTGGCCACTGACACACTGTCCCCACAGGTCCATTGCCATCACCAGTCACCAACGGGACCAGCTCCTCCCAGGTGAGAGGGTGGAAGTGGACAGGGTGGACCCAGGTGGGCCCCTCTGGGGGGTCCCCAGGCTTGACAGAGTCCCTCCCGAGATCTCTGTCCTTGTGTAGTTACAGTGGCCCTGTCACTTCCAGCTTTAGTGCCCTGTGCATCCTGGGTCCTGGGTTAGCTACACCCCAGCCCCGTAGGACAATATAGTGGAGGCTCAGTGGCCATTGCCAAACCAAGGAGGAAATGCAGCTCTGGTGTATGCATGTGTGTATGTGTGTGTGCGTGTAAGCTTGTGTGTGCGCCAGCAGCTCCTGGGCGGGGCCCCTAAAGCCACGCCTTACCGTTGGTTTCCCAGCTCAATGGTGGCTCAGCATGCTCATCCCGAAGCGATCTGCCTGACTTAGACAAGGACACTGAGGTAGCGGGTGCCTGTCCACCTCCACTGCTATGTTCACACACTGGGGGGCCTGAGGCCCTGGGAGCGGGTGTCTGGAACTGACAGCCTGGGCTGTGAGGCCACTACCTCTAGGAAGCCCTCCTGGGCCTGCTGCCCCAGCCCTACCAGGTGGCCTCTGGTGTGAGCTCTCTGGGAAGGGTCACCTGTCCAGGGGCTTGGGTCCAGGGCTCACTCTGGCCACCTGCCTACCGTGTCCGCCCCTAGGACAGCAGCACCTGGAAACGCGACCCTTTTCAGGAGAGTGGCCTCCACCTGAGCCCCACTGCGGCTGAGGCCAAGGAGAAGGCAAGAGCCACTAGGGTCAACAAGCGGGCGCCGCAGATGGACTGGAACCGGAAGCGAGAGATCTTTAGCAACTTCTGAGCCCCTCCCTGCCTGTCCCCCGGCCGGGCCTCCTCCCCGCACGGAACTTGGGCCTTGCCCCTTGGGCCCTGTCCACAGCTCCCCAAGCCTCAGTGGACAGGAGGGGGGCATCCTCACCCCCTAAGCTATGGTGGTCCCACCACCACCCAGGAACCCGTGCCCTAGCGAGCCCTGATGCTGCCTCCTCCCTGCTGGGTGCTGGGGGAGCATGGCAGCAAGATGGGGACAGGGAGCCCCTAAGATGTGAGAGACACCCAGAGAGAAAGTGATCAGAGAAGAGAGAGGGAGAGGCAGTGGTGATCGTGGGGCCAGGCCCTTGCTGCTCTGCCTGGGCCTGCTGACTTAAAGGAATTTGTGTTACTGCTTTTTTTCCAAAAAGAGCTCTAGCTCCACACATGTTTCCACTTACACCAGAGCCCCCGCCTCCACCACCCTCAGGACATGCTCTCTAAATAATTGCAATAAAACAAACCTTTCTCTGCAAACCGTTTCCTCCCCACCCCCTCAGCAGCAGCCATTGCAAGTGGAAGTCAGTCCCAGGAACTTACAGGGACAGAGCTGGGGGGCTCCCAGGCTGTGTTCATGCCGGCTTTGGGTGAGGCTGGGGTTGCCAGTTCAGCTGGGGTTGGCTGTAGGAACTGCCCCTCTGCTCCATCCCTGCCCTCCCTGGGGTGGGGATGTCTGGGGTGCAGGGCCTGGGCTCTTTGACGGGCCTGAGGATGGAGGCCCTGTGCCCCTGAAGAGGGCAGCCTCTGGACAGACCCTTTGTCCCTGAACAGCAGCCTCAGGTCTTTGAGGTGTGACTGTGAGGGCCTGTCCCCAGGAAGGACCTCAGGCTCTGGGCTTGGCCCCCGCTGGGAGCCCTCCTTGAGGAAACCCCACCAACTCTGCCTTCCCCTCTGCCCAGAACCTGACCAACTGACCGACATCGCTGTCTGCCCTGTAAGCCATAGCGCATGCGCGCCCTAGGAATAAAGTCTTTCCTTGGAGCCTTGGCTGTCTCTGTCCTTGCTGAACCTTCAGTTTGGGCGGGGATAAGGGCGTCATGGTCCAAGCAGGGGGGTGCAGCCGAGCAGCTCCCCAAGTCTCAGCTGCTGGAAACTGAGTCCCATTCCTAAGCCTTCCCTCCCCAAATCCGTCTGCCTGGCAGCCAAGCCCAGGCCCCTCTTAGTTCTAGCTCCTCTTTTATCCCCCTCTCCTCCCCAGCCTACTTGGGATCCCCATGCCTCAGAAACCTTACCCCCTCTCACTCGCATCTCCCTGTGAAGCCTTCTGGGCCCCTGACACCCCCAGCAGGTACACACAGGTCACGCCTTCGGCCCTGTGGTGCCCTGCCTAGGCCTGCTAGTATTCCTTTGAGGCCAGGTGGCTCTGTAAACACTGGGGGTGGGGCCTCCTGGCAGAGGCTGGGCTCTCAGGGTGCACAAGTTCAGGAGGGGGCTGTGTTTCTAGGTCCCCAGCCAGATGCTGAGGGAGGCAGCCCAGGCTTCCAGTATCCCCAGAGGCTTCTGACAGCTGGCTGCAGCTGGCTCCCACGATCCAGCTCCCCAGCCCTCCCGGGCTTCTGCTCCCCCACCTCCCCTCTAGCTCGCAGCCCAGATTGTCACGTCCCCATCCCGGCCTCCCAGGCGGCCCCATTCCAGACACACGTGAGCACAGGCACACAGCTCATGCATGTGCTTCCCAGCCTGCCCCCATCCCCTAGGGGTAGAAGTCAGCCAGACCTTAACTGCAAACAACCCCCAAGCTTTATTATAAACAGGCTGTGGCTCCCCAGCAAAGGCACAGAACAGATAGTAGCCAAAGTGGCGCCCAGGCAGAGGCCCCATGGCCCTCAGAGTCCCTGTGCAGCCGGGCACAGGGCCCGGTTGAGGCAGGCCTGGCAGCGCGGGTGGACGGGCAGGCAAGTCTGCTGGCCGAAGCCCACCAGCAATCCGTTGATCTCACTCCACAGCTCCCTGTAGGGGTTGAAGCAGTTAGTGCAGAGGAGAAGCTGGGAGGGAGGAGAGCTGGTCCTGCCCCCACCCCACCCCACCCAACCTGGGTAGCCACTCCTCCAGTGCGGTACGGGTCGCCTCTGGGGACTTCGTTGCCTTCTTGGTCCACTTGAGGCGGTTGGCGATTCTGTGCACATGTGTGTCCACCGCTGCTAAGAGACAGAGCAGGGTGACCACGGGGCAGGCTTACCAGCCCAGGCTGCCCCATCCCTTCTCCTGGCTCTGAGGGCAGGTTGGTGTGGGGCTGAGGCTGGGGCCTGAGTCTCCCTGGCCTCCTTCCCCTCCCCACCCAGGACTTGGGACTTCTACCTGGGGTGCAGGCAGCAGTGCCTCCTGGCCCCTAAGAGGCACTGGCCGTCGGTGCCAGGCTGGATAGCAACAGCTTGGCCCAGTGGGCTTGCAGGAAGTCACTGCCCGCAGAGCCAGCATCTGCCACTACACCATCAAGGACAAAGCGGGGAGCGAGGCCAGGCCAGGTGTAGCTGTTGTCCACCTGGGCCACAACCGCTTTTCCCCTTGGCTGGCCACCCCAGGGCTTGGCCTGGGCACTACCCACTGAGGCCTCCTTCCCCCAGCCAGATGCAGTCCCTGCCTCCTCCTCCTATCGTGTTTGCTAGCGGCTCAGGAAAAGGCTCAGGCTCTCCCCAGAGAGTGACGACAGGCACCCTAGGAGCACAGGGAGAACGTGTACATGGAGGTCACACCTTTGGGTCACCAAGCCTCAGTTTCTTTCTCTGTAACATGGAGATGACTATACTCCTTAAGTTACCCAGAGGCCCAGGCGAGGGCCACACCACACTGTGTGAGCCTCCTGTGGGCCGGGCCTGGTGGGCTCTGCACACTGTGCAGCAACTGAGCAACTGCTTCCCCTGCTTTTTGGTCCAGCTCGGAGAGGGCAAGTGTCTTGCCTAGGGTCACCCAGCTGGGAGGGCAGCACTGGGATCGGCTGTGTACCCTTGGCACTGGCTTTCTAATCAAGGGGGCTTCTCTCAGTAAAGCCCCTGGGATGTGGGGCCCACCCTCCTTAGGATCTCCCTGTGGGTGGCCTGGCCTTTAGACAACCAGAAAGGGCAACATTCTGACACTCTTGCCTGCTGTATCCAGTCATGGACAGGGGGCCCTTCCCCTACAGACCTGCCAGACCACTCCTGGCCACGGGCACCCGAGGACAGCCACCCAGATAAGCTCAAGTATCTCCTGAGAGGCTGCAAGAGCCCAGTGTGGGAGGCTCTACTCTGGCCCCGCCTAGCCAGGCTCCTGCAATTCAGAGCTTCTGGACTGCAATCTCACCTGGTGGCTAGAGCCCTCCTCTTCCCATGGGCGGTGCTGGGAAGGGGTCCCCAGTGGGCAGGCTTCACAAGCCATGGAAGCACTAGGGGGACTCCCACTACCTCTCCTGGCTCCTCTGCACAAGTGCCTGAAAAGCACCAGGCTGGGGGGCACACAGCTGGGCCTGTGGCTGTGTAGCCTCAGAAGCCCCGACTCTCTGGGCAAAGACCTGAGGAAGCAGTCCCATTCCGACCTAGGGGTCTGTTTCTGCTCGTAGGACCTCAAATGCCAAGATGTGACACCCAAACCCAGGAAAGGGATTCTAGAAAAGGCCTCCCTCCAGTGCCTTACTCTTTCTCCCTGGGTCCCCCTGTCTTCACTGAGCCTCCCCAATGTGCCCATGCTCATTCCAGAGCCTTGTGCTCTGGCCCTTTCTCCCACCTCATGGCTTTGCAAATGTTGCTCCTTCTGCCTGGAATGCACTTCCTCCTCTTAGCCTGGTTAGCCTTGTCTCACTTTTCAGCTCTTGGCTGAATTATCATTCATCTCCTTAAGAAGTCTTTCCAGATGCCCCAGACCAGGCTGGCTCCCATGGTGCCCTGCACACCCTGGTCAGTGTTTCTACCCCACGGTAAAGAGTTATTGGATGTCTCCCTCGTGCAGCACGAGGGCCTCTTACAGAGCTCAGCATGCAGTAGGTGCTCAGCAAACAGGAGTTCCTCCTGTTAGCACCCATCTCTAGGCAGGTCAGGCCTAGCTCCAGGCTGGGAACACCTTTCTGACCCTTTGGGCTGAGTTGTAAATGAGACCTGAGTTGGGGTCACAGGTCACAAGGGTGCAGAGAACCCTGACAGCAGCCAACAAGCCTGGAGCCAGCCACTCCCTCTTCGTAGGTGCACGCCACTCACCAATGCCTGACACGGTGCCCCAGGCCACAGCCATGGCCAAGTGTGCCATCTTGGGCCCGACGCCTGGCAGTGCCACCAGCTCTGCCACGGAGGCTGGGATGTCCCCGCCATAACGCTGCTGCAGAATAGCACTGGTCTGCTTGATGTACTTCACTTTGTTCTGAAAGATTGGGGTGGGGGTATAGTCTGACCTGGGAGGACGAGGCCCAAAGAAGACCCACAGGTGCCCAGAGCTGCCTGTCACCTGTTCAGGACACACTCAGAGGCACCTGCTTGCCCCTGTCCCCCCAGTAGGCTGGAGAAAGCCAAGGGCAGCAGGGAGCCCAAGGGAGGCCCAGTGCAGGCCCTAGAACCCTGCCTCCCACCAGCCCCAGCCAGTGACATGTGTGTGGTGTCTGGCTTGGGCCTCCCTGCCCCATCATTCCCCCCCAGAGTCTGGACAGGCTAAGCAGGAACAGTCACACCAGAAGCTGGGCTCAACAGCACCTGGGCTTTCAGGAAGGAAGGCTGGAGCCTGGGGCTCCCCCACCAGCTGCCAGGCCAGCCGGGCGGTTCCCATCCTGTGCCTGAGTGGACAGAGCTATTTAAAACCCATCTGACAAACTGCAGCCCACACCAGTGCCAAGGGGAAGCAGCCCCACCCACCCAGCAGCCTTCAACAGGCCCGCCCACTCGCCACCCTGTACTCTGTGGCCTGCTGGGGCTCCAGAGGGAAGGGGGTGTGCACTCTAGGGAGGCTCAGAGTAAACAGAAGGTTAGGCGGGTAAGCAGCCTTAGCAAGGAAGGGAAGGGCCAGGCGGCTGGGCAGGGAGGTGGAGGAAGGAAGGGATGGGCTGCAAACAGGAAAGGCTAAGGAGCCCTGGGGCCTGGACTTAAGGCCCCACGGCCCAGCCCCCTGTAGGCTGGTCAGAGCTGTGGGACAGGAAAGGGGTAGGGGAGGTGGGGCAGGGCTCCAGTAGGCACTCACATCCAGGCTCCCATGGCCAGAGATACCCAACCAGGGCTCCCACCCACACAGGTCACTCAGCCTCCTGACATTTTTCTCAGGCCAGTGGCACCCGTAGCCCCGCTCACCCTCCAGAAGCCCACGGGATAGATGAGCATGCCCAGTGTGCTATCATCTGTCTGCAGGATGCTGTCCACCGTCAGGCCCCGGGCCCGCAGCCGCTGCATGGCGCCCGCTGTCACCTGGTCTTTAGTCTGGCTGGAGAGCATCAGTGAGAGCAGCACCTGGTACCTCCGCACCTGCTTGCACAGTGACAGGCACAGGGGTGGAGGCGGGTCGTGGGTGCTTACTGTGGGCCAGGCCCCAGCCAAGCCCTTTACTCATCTCCACTTGTTCTACCTTGGGGAACATATAGGACATCAGCCCTCTACCCACCCCGGCCAGTGAGGTGTGTGTGGGGTCTGGCTTGGGCCTGTTTTTCCACTTAAACACAGGAGAAATAACAGCCCCTGCCTCGAAAGATCACTATGAGGCTTAAAGAATTATGGTGCTTAGAATCATACCTGGCAGGATGTCAGTTCTCAGCAGCCATTGGCTGCTATCATTATTCTTATCACTTAGGGAAGGATGCTCCTGGCCACTTTACAGACAAGCAAACTGAGACCCTAGTCATTGGTAGTAGAGTTGGGATTAGAATTAGGTTGGTCTAAGGAACACCAGTGAAGTGTAAGAGCCCTCCTCTCTCTCAGCAAACATTACTGAACACCCCTGATGCACCAGCACTGCTGGCAGAAGGCAGGGCACAAGGCCCCATGTCACAAGTACCCCTGACCTGTTGAGTGGCCACAGTGAAGCAGCTGATGCTGCTCAGGGCTCCACACCCCAGCTGTGAGTCCTCTCAGGGTGCTGTCTGCAGAGGAAGGTGCCAGTCAAGAGCTGCCAGGTGTCAGCCTGTCCCCTGCTAGAGGCCTGAGAGGAAGCAAGTGTCTTGTGCGGAAGGGGGTTGCCCAACAGATGGATCCCTGCCTACCTTTGGGGGTGCACTAAGGTCATAGCAGTGCTCAGCCCCCAGCTGGTCCACAGGTGCGTCCTTCCCACTCCTCATGGTTCGGATGTTCTCCAGCTGCCGCTGCCAGTCCCGAGGCTCCCAGCCTGGTGCCTGGAGATGCTCGGCCTCCTCTCCTGTCTCACCTTCTGAGGCCTCGTAGGCCACGTTCAGTCTTTGTGTCTTCCGCTGACGTTTCACAGAGCTGTGGCTTTTCCTTCCTTCTGCAAAAAGTGCCACTCGGTCCCTTCAGTGGGGGCTACAGGTGAGGATAAGGTGTGGGTGCTGCCTCAACCTCCATCATTCATTCAACAACCATGCATCATCTACTACAGCTGGGGGTGCTCTGTGATCTGTAGCATGCACCTGGTCCAGGTCAGCTTTCTTTTGCCACTGCCTGTCTGACCAATATGATTTGGCATCTGAGGACTCTAGTTATCAGCCTCCGCCACAGTGCCCCCAATCTAGTCTCCACACTGTGTCAGAGAGAACGTTCTAAAACCTGAATTGGATTTTGTCACTGCCTTAAGATTTCTCATTGGTTCTTCTGTACTCACGATGAACTCCAAACTCTGTGCTGGCATCAAAGTTCCTGTCTACCTGGCAGGCATCATCACGTGCCTGTACCCCAACCCTAGTTCCTCCTGCCCTATATCTGTTCCAGTGTGTCTTATCGGGACTACCTCTGGGATCCTTGGGTGTCTGTGGGAATCTTCCTTTGGCCAATCTTGCAGACGTCCAGGCAGGACAAGCAGCAGGAGCTCTGTCATTCTGCCCACCACTAAGTGCCATGATTGGTACAAGGTGGGTTCTTAAGGAGGACACATGTAAGTCCAGAACAATGATATAAACACAATGAAAGTCATGCCCTTTTCCGTTTTCTCTCAGAGGCACCCTCTAGCAGGTGGAGAAAACTTCTGGCTGGGGTTGTTCTCGGCACTGGGCCGCGGAGCTAGAATGAGCTATGAGGACAGGGCCGGTTTGCCTCGCAGCCAACCTGGCACAAGTGCAGGGCATGCTACTGGGAAGGGGAGAACTTTCTTGAGATGGACGAGGGTGGGGGAGATGGGAACGCCCGGAACCCAGTCCCTGCGAACAGGGCGCACAGTGCGAAGTCATGTCCCCACGTGGGGTCTGGGAACTTGCCCGCGGCTGCAGAGTGCCAGCCAGCACGGCATGGAGCCCTCTGGGAAGGCCCGGGACCCCAGCCCCGAGTCCCTTGCAGGCCCCCTCCCCCTTCTCTCCTCCGGGGCCCTGGCCCAGGCGCGGCGCTACCTGCAGCCGCCTCTACGCTCCGGAGGGGCGCGGCCTCTTCCCCACCACGCCGCAGTCCAGCTCCCCGGCTACGGCTGCGGGTCACCATCCTCGCGCCCACGGCGTTCATCCCGGACTCCTGAGGACTACACATCCCGGCGACGCCCGCGGCCCCGTCACGTTACTCGACACCTGCCCAGCCTTTCCGCGGGAGATCCACCCAGAACTACGACTCCCAGCAAGCCCTACGCCAGCCCCCGGCGCCCTCCCGCTGCCGGAAGCGCGGGTCGCGCTT